CGTTTACTTTCGGAAAGGGACGGGTACACCGGTCCTGGGGTCCTTCTTTTGTCAGAATCGGACTTCTGGATGGATTTGGCATTCAGGGACCTTTCATGAATGGGTGTTCATCCGTTTTTTCCTTTTTGGGAGTCTAGATGCGCACGGTGTCCCCCCCCTTCAACGGTGTTTCGCCGGGTCAACGAGATGGGACGGCCTGGTGGATGGGAGGAAGGAACTGACCTTCCAACCGACCTGTTGCTACCTGGGTCCCGTCCCCCACGACTTCGGGATTTGGTTGGGTTGACAATTATTTGCTCCCAAAACCCAACACTTGGAGATCTTTGAGAGACAAGGTCAAGGGCAGGTTTTTTGGATTTCGACCCCTCTGGCTGAGGCGTGCCGGCATGGCGACTCGCTCGCCGTTCGCCTTCTCATGCGGCCAGGAGAATCAGTACGGCCTTCGACTGGCGGATCTGGTGAACACTTGGAACGAGGACCGATTCACGCTTTTCGAAGCGCGAAAGGACCTGGCGCGAAAGGACTTCCCCCAAAAAAGGAGACGTGCTGCGAAGAGACCCCGAAAAAGGTGAGACCAAATGCCTGATGTAGACTCTTGACATTGATTATCAATAAACCACCCCTGTTTCAATGGACCTCTTCATATGGGGGGGTTCTTCATCAAGAGTCGTACTAGGTCTTGCGTTTTTTCGGGTGATGTTTCTTTTCTCGAACTGTGGGTCAGTCCCTGGCATGGGGAAGATGTTGTAGTTTAACACCACGGTTCGTGGACTAAGCAATGATTCAATGATTCAGATTCTTGTCACAGTTATGGCCCAGCTTTAGGGTGTCGAGATGCAATCTTCCGGAAGGTTAGTCCGAAAAGATATGCCGGGTTGTTCTATTTGGATCGTATTTTCTCTTTTTTGCATCCACTGTTGTTCCATTCGGGTATTGTTCTATTCCAGAGAGCATCACGGATGTTCTTCTTTTGGTTTCTGCATTGCAGACCACTTTCATAGTCCCATCGTGCGGTGCCGCCTTCCTCGGTCTTCGCTCGCTGGGGATGCCTACAATGCTCGAACGTGATCCATCAGGTCCCCAAGTCGGTCCGGTGATGTCGCCATCGGTTTTTCTCCCCACCCAGACGCTCCGTTCACAGCCCGACTGGTCCCTCAAAACCAGCTTGGAATGGGTCCAGACCCCGACTTTATTGAGGGTCCCGGGTCGCGTCTGGGCACACATCCAATGATCCGGGCGTTTTCATCCCCAGGACACCCGGAAGATGCTCCGGGAAGAGCTGGCCGCCACACGCCCGGACACTCCCAGGTGGGGGGATGGTTCACCGAAAGAAAACGAGTTATGTATAACATCAATCCTTTTGACTTCAATATATGTCAACGATCCGAAGGCTAGAACTATATATATATATATTATACAATATAACAATATGCAAATCTATCATAGTTGTCAACAATTAAAACATTGTGTTCTTCGAGGAGCCGTCTTGAGTAACGGCTCGCAGAGTCGTGAGGTGAGTACCAAGGAACCTTTTGCTATGATGATCTATGATGAGGTAAATATGTTTGTTTTGCATGTTTCTTTTTAATAACAAACGCTGATTGATTTTGAGACTCAGTGACAGTCCAAGATGTTCGGCTTTTCCCAGAGAATGGGCGTGTGATTTCAGTGAAGAGTTATTTGGGTCATGCTGGGTCTATTTGTACCGGAGGCTAGTGCCGCTAGTAGGTTGGAGGCCATCGCTAGTGGTGTCTTTGAACATCTTCGAATACTCTTGATTAATCATGATTAATCCCTAGGGCTCCAACCATATCCTGAGAAGGTGGTTAGACCCCCCAAACCACCCACCACAACCATCTTCGAAACGGAGGTAGTAGTTGGAGCCCTAGGGTTGGTAGACCCCCCATATGAAGAGGATTCAGTTGTTTGTAGCTACCCGCCAACGTGAACCCGGCCCATAGTGCCAAGGGGAACCCGTGTCACGGACACGTAGAGACATCCGGAGGGAATGCGGGTCCCGTCATGAAGAGGATGTCCATTTCAAATGGGAGGGCTTATTAATCAAGAGTCATTACATTTTAGTTTTAGTAGGTTTTTCTTTTAATACTTAAGACACAGGAAGACAGATAAAGAAAGGGCCTCAGAATCCGAAGGGATCTGAATGGCCTGTGCTCAAGCATTTCGAAGCACCGGACAAGCCCACGTTTTGAAACCCCTTCGCCCCTTCAAGTTCATCAGCGGCTGGTTGTTCGGGTTAAGAGATGGATCATGTCTGATCCTTTTTTTTGCTTTAAGGAAGCAGACTTGATGGAGGTTTGTGGAGTGTAACAAGTATGACTATGACTGCGACGTCTCGACTGAGTAGCTCCACATCGCTCCGTGCCATCTCTCAGATCTCGAGGCACAGTGCAGGCACATCTGCACGTGGCGAGCTTCGCGATGAGTCGCTGAGCACCTTGCAGATCTTGCAGTCGATTCTCTTGGAGCCCATGGGTCGATTCGGGCCATGTGCCGCTTTTCGGGGTCGATGTTTCTTCGGAGAGCTCGAAGACGAAAGGTGCTCTGGCGTGCCGAAGAGAAGGTGAAAATCCGCCCAAAGAGATCCTCGGTACCAAAGGGCCAAGCCATCAGAGATGATCTCCCTGATCGGGTCCTGTTTTGAGCCTGTATACAGGACATGCGTGCCCGAAAGTGACCTGCTTGGGGGATGCTGCTTGAAAAACCGCACTTTTGGAACCTGCCCATACCTTCTCAATCCTTCTCAAGTGGTCTTGGTCTTCGGAGCCCAAAGTCCGGGCGTGTCACATCCCGGTGGAAACCAGGAGCCCCTAGTAGCGTCCTTGCTCCTAGTAGCAATGCCAGGAGCCCCTAGTGGCGTCTTTGCTCCTAGTAGTAAGGCCAGGAGCCCGGAAATATGACATTAGAGACACAGTGGTATGTGATCTGCCCGGATGTTCAGTAGGGTATCAGGGTTTTGATTATGGTCGTGACTAAGGCACCTGCTTTGGCCAGAAACGGTTGGCAAAGGTCGTCATCATTCAGCCACGTCTCAGAATCAAAGACAAATGATCTCCAAAGGAGTTAGCGATGTTGGAAACCACTATTTCTGCAGCAGTATGTGTGCCAAACATGTGCTGACAAGAACCTAGATCAACGCCTGGTCGCAGGGCCACCCCAATTCACCTTGCCATGGACTCCAACGATCATGAACACCACCTGGCTGGGCTGAACACGACTGCGACTGAAACAGCCGCGACCGACTCCTGCTCTTCTGCCACTGCCGACTCTGCTGGCAGGAGTTTCGGGCCCTCACGCCCTTGCCGCACTGCGATCACTGTGGCGCCTTGGGTCGTGTGGCCATCAATCAGGAGGACGGCAGACTGGCGCGGGCGGAGGCGGAGTGTTTTGGAGGACTCTTGTTTGGGGCACGGTGGTACGTATAGTTGTGTTTATTTCCTGAGGAAGGGACTATAAATAAGTTGCTCAGATGAAGTGCTTTGGGGTGTTATGAAGATGGACACAAAGGAGCGGAAATTGCCCATCATTGATTGGCAGGAGCCAGATCAGGGTGACGGTAGGACCATGTGACCACTTCAATCTATTTGGCACGGTACGGTGAGGCTGTGTATACACTGCTTAATTGTGCCCACCCCATGAAATCTTTACTACAAGTATAATATATTACCAGGAGTCACAAAGGTTTTTTTTGGTCACCAAGTGAGTGGATAATGGGCATTCCTATCCTCCAATACGCACCCCTTTGGAACTACTGGTGCATAGTGTCGCTTTTTTGTTGCGGTGCCGCCCAGACAGCCAATTCCAAGTTCGAAAAGGCACGAATCATGGCCTGTTTTGGGGCAACAAAAATGCCCTTACGGCGTCTTTTCCCAAAGACGGTGCTTTTTGGGTGACAACTCCCAGTTGGACTGGACCAGCGACGATGTCCAGTCATTTTTCCTTGATGGAACCACACTCACCGCATGCGGTATGTTCCTTCAAGAACCCGACAAAAAAAAATCCAAGAGGATTTATTTAGTATAGGTATCATATCGGGCATATCGATGGGAAAACAAACAAACAAATTAAAACAATTTAAACCATATTATTCTATAGAATATGATGGTTCCTTCGAGCCTGGTACCCTTATGACCTCCATGTCCGGCCGTTGGAAGATGATCCTTTTCAACGTCTTACGGTTCAGGGAGACTGGGTCTCCATGTTCGACACCGAAAGAAAGGACACCAAATAAATGCATGAGCATCCTACAGGTGTTTGGAAAGCCACAAACACCCGTGCTTCTTTTTTCATGTTCCCTAGTTGGAGGCCGAAGTCGACAAATGACCAAATTTTAACACACTGGCCCTTGAGCATCCTTAAGGCTCATGATTTCTGTATCTCGGGAATCCCTCAATCTTTCCGACCTCGAATTGTTGCCACGGATTCTGGGCTCAGGTTCCGCTGCTGTTGATGTTTTAAGTCGGCTCCAGATGTATCGACACATTCGACATCCGAACCTTGGGAACCCCTTCTGAAGACATTGCGTGACCCAAGCCATCGCACCAGCAGAACCTCTGAACCTCTTCAGGATCTCACTGAGCTGGTCAGGGGTCATTTGTTGATGGACCGCTCCAACTCGCGGAGCCCCTCGGCCGATGCTGAGCCCCTCGCCATCCCTCCGTCCTTCAGGGTCCGGGGCGGTGTTTTGGTTGGGACTTCGGTGTGCCCGGACCGGGGCGGAGGTGCCATGGGGCAGGGCAGGGGCCACGGGTTTTGGGTGAGATAGAGATCTCAACTTGTGCATGTCGAAGCAGTTTAAAAGTGGGATACAGCCTGAACATATGACCCGTAGAAGGCGGTTCGGCGGTTCCAAAACTCTGACGCATCCGGAAGGGGGAGCTTCATGTCTTGATCTTCACTGAGGTAACACCAGCCCAATGGAGACCAGTCTGCCTGAACCGCGGTCAGAGACCAAGGCTTGCTGGGGCTAGGGAAAACGAGCTGGGGAAGAGCTGGGCTAGATGGGCCATGGATGTTTTGAACATCTGTGGCCCATACAAGAGGGGTTTGGCCCAGCCCTATTCTGAAAAGATGTCATGAGTCCTCTATTTTGCTGCTGGCTTGCCCAGAAGTCGAAGACTTTCTGGGCATTCCATCATCATTCCACATACTGGAAGCAGGTTCAGCCCAGATTTTTCTTGAATTGTGTCCAAGGTCTGTGGATATGTCAGACATCAGGATTAAACTTAAGGCTGTGAATATTTTTTCGGTTCTGGACACTGCCACGATGCTCGCTGTGAGCCTAGGATTTCAACTCAAGGCTTCATCTTTGCTTCCTCCCTTGCACGCGACAGCCATTGCGATGCGGAAAGTGACAGCGATAGCTGCGGCGATGGTTGCATCGGCTGCAGAGCTTAGCTCCTTGCGTTTGGGCCATGGCGGCCATGACCACTTTGGAGGTCGGGATGAGCTCCAAAGTGTCGTAAAGTGTCTAGTTTACATTTTTGGAAGTGGTTCCTGTCATTTCCTGTTAATCATGGTACAAGTAGACTAACTATATATGTACGGTTGATTAGATTTCTATCATTCAGAGAGCGAATTCGAAGCCACTAGTCCAGTTGCACGGTGGGATATTCGAGGGGGCTTTGGGCTGTCCAGGGCACGAGATGGAACGGTCCTTCCTGATGTACGCAGAGCTGCCCATGGGCGAGGAGGCCCTGAAAGCTCGAGGCTGGCACAAACACGGGTCGGAGTGTGACCCCGCTTTGGGCTATGCTTGGACTGAGAAGGCGGAGGGCAACACCAAGAGCACCCCCCTCGTGCTGTACACCACGCAGGGTGGACAGCCATCAGGTGTGGGCATCACGGTGGTGGGTTACAACGGCCATCCGCCCCTTCCAGAGGAGCAGCAGAAGTGGGCCACGGCCACCCCCTTGACGCCTAACAACATCGAAGAGCAGGTGAGCAGCGAGGTTTTGATCTATTCAAGAACCAAAGGGTTATAATATAAGGAAGTATATTGTATTAGACCACTTATAAGACCAAAGGGTATAGTATCTATTAAAGACCTATGTTATTGTATAAGGCCAAGACCGGGTTTTGACCACTCAGGTGGCTCATCTCGATGTGGCTTTCCGCTATGGGTCGATCCTATGCTCCGGCGAGACAGAGGAAGCCGTCGTGGGCACCACGCTCATCGTGAACCCCACGAGTGAGGGGAATTCGAAGACCATCCCTTTGACGGAGCAGGGTGTGAAGGAGCAAGGCTGGCATCGAGGGTCTTGTTTTGATGGAATGGGCTGGCATTGGTTTCTGGACACCAAGCAGGACAAGCCACCAAGTGGCATGTCTTGGATGGCGCAGAATCTCTTTCCTGTGGTTGCCATGTACCACGAAGGGCAGATGAATGCCATCTTCTTCGCAGCACACCTGAGCCAGGCCTGGTTCTGCCTTGGGTGATTCGGTGATTCTGGATTTTCCCTTTGCAAATCCTCTGGGGATTTTCCATAGAGGATCACCAGAGGATTTTTTAACATCTGAAAAACATCTAAACATCCTCTGGGTGATTCGTGTTAAAACATTCAGATGTTTTCCAGTTCCTGGTCAGCTCCTCCTTTCGCAGGTCTCCGTACCGTTCCTTGCCACCAACGAGTGGGATCCGGCTGGGCTGGACAGCGGGAAGATGTGCAAAAACACCTGTGACAAGGACTGCAACTTCACGGGCATGGTGGACACCTTTTCCACCGCACACATCTACTTCCGTGACCACAAAGAAGTGAGCTGCCCATCTGAGCTGCAGTGCAGCATTCAGTTTCCGATCAGGGCCGCTTGCTGCGACACCGCACAAGATGGCACCGTGGTCGTGTAAGTCGCCAATGTGCACTTGGCACACTTGGCACACTTCATTACCCAGACCATCCATGTGTGGAATATTTACCTGCATTGACCCTTGAAAGCTTAAAAGGACCCCAATGTAGGCAAATATTCCATAGGTAGGTGGTTAGGGTTATTTTGCCATCTGAGAACTGATGGATGACATGGATGTTTTGCAACTGTTACATTGATGGCTAACCAGCCTGAAAACAACTTGCGACATGTTTGCTACACTTCAACACCCACTCCCTTCTAAGCCATAACTTGTTGCCCAGGTTGCTTGCCAAGTTTGATTGATTTGATCATCGATTTATCGATATTGATGAGGTCGTTGGTCCGCCGTCTAGATTTCGGCTCCAGTGTCGAAAGTATCACAACCCACCCTTCCAGTTACTTCTGTGGTATAGATCTTCTGTTGGGAGAGTTGAGAACAGTTAGAAAGTAGACCATAGCCCAGACACTCCATGGGACTGGCATATATACCTACATTGGCAACATTGGCCCCTTTTCAACCACCCCAACTGATCGGCAGTCCTTTGGCAGTCCCCTTTGTCGGGTCGACCACCAGAGTGAGCCTGCAGGCTTTGCAGCCGCTGCTGACCGAGCTCACCACAGCCTTTGGGGAGATGCAGCAAGCGTTGAAAGGGCCACTGGGTTCACAGGGGTTCACGGGGTTCCACTGGGTTCAGCAGGTGGTGAACACTGCTGATGCGGGGCCGCTGAGTCTCTTCTTCTTTCCGTACTCTCCTGAACTTGTAGGAAAGTATCTCAATCTTGCGGAACAGATGCAAAACATGTTTTTTTGCAATTCTACCCTTGACCTGGAGTTTCACTCCCAAAACTGTATCGTGGTTTCGTTTGTCCAGCACTGAGTGGTTTTAGTCTTGACTTGGTGATAGGTGTAACCCATTGGGCAATCACAATGTGCACCACCAAGAGTGGATCGGGGCTTTCCAAGAAAGGATACTATATTACAATAGACAATATATATATATATATGTGTCATTATGCCATGGAACATGTTGCATAAATACCAAGAATCAAGAACATCCATCCAATAAACCACAACTAAAATAGTGGTATCCCCTCCGGCCCTGTGGCTTAGGAGCGCCGCGTTGGTGGAGGAGGTCCGCCGCGCCCGCGCCGAGCCACCTCCGCGGTCTGCGCCCGCGGCGCCGCCCGCGGCGGCGCCCGCGCCGGCAGAGAGCGCGGAGACCGGGGCGACGAGGCCGGAAACCGCAGAGACGGCGAAGAGGAAGGATGGAGTTATTGTAGAATGTAGAGCAACGAAAAGCAAAGACTCTGAATGTAGTACAACGCCTGAATGTAGAACAGCAACTTTTTGCTGGAACTCAATGTAGTAAAGCCTGAATCTCAGAGTGTGGCTGATATAGTTATTGCATCATTGAGAGAGGAGTGGCTGGAGAGCTGAGAACAAGTCTGACCCCAGTTCCCAGTTCCGTGGATTGTAAAAGCTATGTAGTAGACCTTCGAGGGATGAAGAGACATCCTTTTGTATATAATTTTCACTTGTTTTTTTTTGATCTACATGAACTGGTTTTCAGGGTGTGACTGGATGAGTGGGATGTCTAATGAGGACCATGGGAATGTCCAAGGACCTAGGACAGTCTGAAAGCACCAACCGAGCTCTTCCAATGCATCAACGTGCATAGAAGCTGCCGTGCCGAAAACGACATCGTGCACACCGGGCAGGCTATTCCCAGAGCTTGATGCAGAGTTGGTCTTGCAGGAGCCTTGCAATTCCTGCCGCCAAAAGATTCCGCAGGGTCACAGCGACGATTTGTGGTACCATATAATATATAGCTAGAAGTCCAAACACGATATTTTGACTGACTGAAGTAAAGGAAATTCCTTTTCGTGTCACCATATCAGACCATTCATTTTGTAGTCTTTGACTCCCAGGGATACCCCTATTGCCTATTGTAGCGAGTGCAGTTCTGAGTTTGGATGGCAGGGATGATTGACCAACAGAGACAGAAGGTCGGTTGTTTCTTTCGTCGGGTGAAGGGCGCAGGAAAAAACACCTACAGATTAGAAGTTGGACATAGAAGTTCTACCCTACAGGTCCAGTCTGACCCTGTTAAAACCTGGTCCAAATCACCTCATTGAGTAGTGTTGAATTTGTGCTTTTTTTCGTCGAACTGACTTGAAGTAAGTAAAACGAGTCGTTTTTCTTGCCTGTAAAAAAGCTACGCAACGGCAGGTCAGCATACGAACTTGGGGTGGGATAGTCAGCATACGAACTTGGACGTTACTGGGTGGCTGAACCAGTCTCACTTTTCTCACTGGGAGGTCGATTTGGTGGAACACTCTATCCTGCTCATGTCACGGGTCATCTCAGAATAGGACTGTTGCAGGCTTTTCGGAGGTGATCTAGACGTCGGGGGTTCTCTCCAGACATGGGACAAGGGCAAAGGAAGAGACACCTGCACATATTTTTGGTGAATGGAGAATGGATCACGGGGGAACTGTCCAAATACCAGGACCTTCCAACTTCCAACAGGTGGTTGTTGGACACCCCTCACCCTTTGGCTGAGGCTATTTCTAGACACCTCGGTATGGAGGGTCCTGGTATGGAGAATGTTGGTGAATTTCTCAGAGATACCAGCAACACGTGCAACGGTGTGAGCGGTTTGCAGTTTCCAGTGGTGAAAGCGTAGAGTTCATCAGCGACCGTAGACAGGTGTGGACTGTGAATGGCTCAAAGCACCGCTTCCAGCATAGATTCACATCCCACCGAAGAGTGGGCATTGGACCTGAGAAGACATCACCCGTGGTTTTGACATGTTTCGAACATTTTCTGAATACCAACCCGACGTGGCTTTTGGGGTTCCAGCCTGGTCCGAATAGCAGGGGAGTAGACTCACATCCCACAAGAATTTCTTATAGATCCGACTCGGGTCCAAGGGCGTAACCATGTGTAACCCATGACCATTTTTTGACCACTATCTCTTGGCTTTCGCTTTGAGGACTTGCGACAGATCAAGGCCTCTTGACGACATGTGTGCGTCGTGGAGGTGTTTCGCATCTGGGGGACAGGTATCGAGGTACAGAGGACTCACGTTGAGGTTGTTTCTGTGCGGATGTTCGATCCCCCAGCAAGCCAGAACTGAAACCTTGGAAGGCACCTGGGAGTTCACTTGCTTTCTTGAAAGGCACCTCAAAGGAAAACAAATGACAGAAGCACTACATAGGACCGTCCTTCCGGGGTCTGGACCATCCTGGAAGGCGTCTGACTCGACCACCCTATCAATCCTTGTGGGTTTCCATTGGACAAAGCCCCCGATACTCGTTGGAACTCATGCGCCAACACCCCCAGCTGCTGGGGTGGCTTGTAAACGACGGCGCGAGCTCCGCTCCGTTCAGCCCCAGCACCACCCGTTCCGAACCCGTGGTGCGAATCCAAGCGAATCGGGTGACATCGGGTCTGGTCAGATGTAAGTTCATCTCAGCCAGAAGGAACTGCGGGGAGAACTCAATCGGTTTATGGATGTTTGTGGGGAAGGGATAGTCATGACTGATAGGCAACCGTGAAAAAACACATCATCAATAGATAGGGTCAGGTGCTTTTGGGGTGAGGGGCATACACTCTCTCATGTTGGGTGGGCCAGCCTAATTATGCCTGGGGAAATGGATGAATAAACCATTCAACAAAGACAACTGGTTGAAGTCTGAAGGAAGACCGGCAGTGTTTGGTCTCAACGACGCTCGCTGGGCGACCCTGACTCCTCGCTGGGCTCTGACTTCCTAGACACTCGACCGGGTGCTTCATCGACCGAGCAGTCCCCGGCAGTGAGGACTTAGTGGCACAGAATAGCACGGTGGCCCTGACAGCTGAAGTTCAGGCCCTGAAGGAGCAGCTGGCTTCTTCCGCGTCGTCGCTCGCGGATAGATTCGATGCAGACGCAGCAAAGAATAGACGGCGCAGAGCGACCGACTACTGGTTTCGATAGTTGGATGATAAGGTGCAAAAGGATTCTTGCAGATGGCTTCTTGATGAAGATGGTGAGACTCAGAATTTGGAGTCTCACCATCTTCATCAAGAAGAGGATGAGAGCTAATGAATTAATTTGACATATGTCTCGTGCGTCACTTGCCCCTCCTCCAGATGTTCGGTCAGTTTCCACCAGGAGGCGCTGAATGAGGTGCAGCAGAAGTCCGAAAAGGCCTGGTGTGGGTGGCGTCCGTTCTCGCCTGGTGAGGGCGAGGGTCGAGGGTACGACCATAGAAACATAGGCAAGTGACTTAGTTGACTTATAGAGTGTTTCACCAGTTGGCAATCGCCCAAACTTATTGAGTTCGTGGAGATTATTCATGTTCAACGCTCAGGGCTCGAGCACCAACGAGCCAAAAACAATGCAGGTGAATCGTTGGTCGTCTCTCCTTGTGCGGTGCGCGGAAAAGGGGCTCAGGACGTTCCTTCTTCCTTCGAGTTAGGACTCGGTCGCATGCTGTTCGGAGCGGAGCCGAAGCGTCGCGTTCGAAGCGACGCACCGTTGGAGGCCATCGCTATGAGGTTGGAGGCCATCACTACGAACGGAACAAGAAGCTACGAACGTAACAAGGGCATCGCTACGAACGTAGCGATGCACTTGTTCTCCATTTTGGTGATCCTTTTTTTGTGATTTGTGCGACGAAAGTACTGTAGGGAATGAGGGTGGCCAGGGTGGCTGGATCCACTGGAATCTCTAGACCGGGGGCGAACCGTTCCCTATCCTTCCCTTGAAACCAATCTCGTCGCTCCTTCGTCAGCTGGCTGTCAATTCCCCTTGGTTTCGCAATCTGGAAGGACTCCCAGACCTTGTTGCGGAACATGGAGCGCCTCTCAGACGTCATCTCCGCCGAGCGGATGGCCGCTGCACGGGAGACGCTCGGGAAGAAAGCTGCTGGAGTGGACGAGGGGGAGGGCGGGATGCAGATACCCCATGGCCCTAAGAGCGATGGCCTCCAACCTAAGAGCGATGGCCTCCAACCTAAGAGTGATGGCCTCCTCCAACCTTAGAGCGATGGCCTCGAGCTGCGGATCTATTAAATGTTGATCCACAATTTCGTGCCAAGTCGCCAAGTTTTGACACATCCACAGAGTCATGGGACAATGAAAAAGGGTTCTGCAGGATGATGCAGGTGTTGGCTCACCATGCCTTCCTTTGTTTTTCAGGAGTTAGACTTCCAAACTCTGAGGCGAA